TCCCAACGTCCAATGAATCACAATCATCCTCACCATACCATGCTCATCTCATCAGTGCCACTTCTTTTGCCGATCTAGAGCCATCTCTGGTCTATCACACTTTCTACACACTTTGTACATTGACACATCTGTTCACACAGGTTCATCAGCCAGAGATAAAATCTTCCATCTAGTAACTATATTAGGTTAGTTTATNGTCTATCACACTTTCTACACACTTTGTACATTGACACATCTGTTCACACAGGTTCATCAGCCAGAGATAAAATCTTCCATCTAGTAACTATATTAGGTTAGTTTATAAAGGTACTATCTATAAATCAACACACACACATACACACACTTTTTGTGCTTTAGTGAGCAGTCTTTACCCTTGCTTCACTAAAATGCTTTTCCCAATGACAAGCACACACACACACACACCTACCTACCCACGACACACAATGGATGGAGCGAGACTCTACACCGTTCTGTTCACCTTTTAATTCAACCCAATGATTTGCATCATCTGTTCATGAAATCTCTCCCACTCTCTGTCTCATTCTCTCAATAAATGCCATTTACATCTCCTCCACCTCCTTTTATATTTTCACTACCTTTTCCACTACCTCTCTGTCTCTGGTCACGTTTCATTTGGCGAGCAAATCAATTCGTCAAGTGGTCCGTAAAATATGATGGCAAGGCCAGTCGGCAAGTGCACTACAACATCAGTCTACGTCGTTTAAAAGACTAGCACTCCATTTATCATCAGTTTTTAAATTAATAATTTAAATTTTCTAATTTTAAAATGACTACGCTCCAATCTTATATGATTTTGTCTATTCTGCTACTGGTAGCGATTGGTAAGTGTAATTGTTTATTTACCGATTTATAAAATGCTCATGATTGCTCTTCTGCTGCACAGCGATTGGCGCACAGGCACAGAGTGTGGACCAGATTGTCAATCAAAACGGAACTAAATCTCCCTGCCAGACGTGTGACATGCTAAATAAGAAGCTTCAGAACTTTGTTCATACACAGTTGGATGGTGTAACGAAAACCGTCTTGGACAGTTTCTGCTCGGGTCAGGGAGGATTGAATTCACTTTTATGTCGTCAAGCAGGAGAACAAGTTGGCGTTACCGTAGAAGGCCTGCTGAAAAAATACCTGAACGAGTTTTCAACCAGATGCTCTCAGAACTACTTTTGCACAGTTGAAGATACTATTTTGCAGTTTTATAAGAAAGACACTTTTTAATCATTTTACAACAACACCATATGTACATCAGTAACTGACTTTTGTATACAGATCGATTAAACTAATATCATCGTTCAATTGATGTCGAGTTGCTCGAGTTCTTGTAAACATACTCCAATATGCAAGAAATCTCTTTCATATCGTTTTCTATTACCTTCGCCCAATTCTCCACATCTCCAAGTTGTTTTAAAGAGTCGTTGAATCCGTTCATCAGTGTTAGCCATTGGTTGATTGAGCGAGAAAATTGATCGATATTTGCAACCAGCTGCTTTGCTTCAGAGTCCAATTTTCGTTGATTGAGGTACGTTTGCGCAATTCTGAATAAAGAACAAGTTTCAAGCAAAAGTTTTACACAATTATAACATAGACACACTTACCCATCATTTAGGTGGTTCACTACTTTGGTGGTAAAATGAACGGAACTTGCCACTGCGGCATTTCTTTTTTGTTCTGCAAAACAAAAAATGAAAATAATTTTGCTGATCAAAACACTAGAGTTTACTAGCCTATTTCTTCTCGTTTCTTAATCTGCTTCAGCTGATGTTCTTTTAGCATTGATGATAACGATGCCATCTTGAAAACTGATCGCTGTCTGGACAATCAGCTTTGAAATGTCAAAACTCCAACTCCTGCAAAATGTAAACAGAAAAGACAAAAACACCCAAATGAGGAATCGACACAGTCGAAATAGAGGTTCAAAAATCGCCCAAAAAAGATTGGCTAGGCAGAGCAGTTAAAAAATAAAAAAAGATTTTTAACAGTTAAAAGAAGGTGCTGCCAGTACCTTCATCACTTCAAAGTAGAAGTGAGCGCAAAAAGGCGCCAGAACATAGGAATAATAAAAATTAAAAATGAAAACAAAATGTTAAAATGATAAAATAAATTAGTAGGTTGCGCGAGAAGAAGAAGGCGCAAGGAAGTGTGCCATCAGCAGGAGAAGGGGCCCAGCAGCAGCAGAAGAAGCTGGTGGTGGTTGTGGTGGTCTTGCCGCCCAATCCTCTGTGAAATGGTCACATCCTACTAAGCATTGCTCTTGAGGGCGCTCTTCGCCTTCATGAGGCTCTTGCCGGCGGCCGAGGAGGAGGCGCCCACCTTGCTGCCGACTTTGCTGCCCACTTTGCTCTTGGCGGCCATAGAGCTTGCCTTGGAGCCACCGACGTTGCTCTTTGAGGCGCCTGGACCGGCTACGGAGCTCTTGGCGCCCATCTGACTTTTGCCGGCGGGGGCGCCGGTGGAGGAGCCGCCGTCGGCGCCCGGGGCAGCAGCAGCCGAGGCGGAGGAGGCCACCTTGCTGCCCGCCTTCACCTGACTGGCCACCTTGCTCTTCACGCCCGAGTTGGACTTGACGCCCGACTTGACCTCCGATCCGGAGCGCGACTTGGCGCCCAGGTTGCTCTGGGTAGCCGGCGGGCCGCCCTGCTTCTTGCTGCTGGAGCTCTTGTTCGAGACGGAAGACTTGGCAGCAGGAACCCCCTTTCCAGTCTTGCCTCCGTTCATCTTGCCCTTGTTCTTGTCCTTCTTGTGGCTGAAAACGCAGTAGAGGATGATGCCTCCGACGACGAGCAGGACAACGACCACGCAGATGATGATGATCATCAAAGTGTTGCTGCTGCTAGTGGTAGTAGAAGACTTGGCCGGGGGCTTGGTTTTAGTGTTCTTGCCGGATTGAGTTACCGGTTCCACGGTTTCAGTGATGATGGAGCCCTCAGTCGGGGTGTTGGAAGACGGTGTAAAAAATTCGTTTTCGGTTGTGCCAGAAAAGTAATCATCATCCATTTCTGTGGTCGTATCATTAGCTTGGACCATGGCACTGCCGAAGATAGCCAGTAGAATAAAGAGGCCCATAGCCAGGGGAAGGTAGGGCATCTTGCCGCGCTTGCCGATCTGATACGATGACGGCATTGTGCTGTGGAAAAGGAGCGCTTGCTAGTTGACGCAGGTGATGTGCAGTTTTGGCAAAGAAAGTGCTTGGTGACGTACTCTGTGGCAAACTTGTACACGTTTGGTGCTGAAAAACTAAAGAATGCTTACGATGCGTTTTATAAAGCAGGCACACCATTTGCCGCTAGCAATATCGAACTTGCTTACGCTTGTTGGCAATTTAGAACTGTTTGCTGTTAGGGCGTAATTGAATCAGTACTTTATTTGGGTAATAATCACAAAAGAGTAAACTGTACAAGCAAGTATATTATTACATTNAATTTAGAACTGTTTGCTGTTAGGGCGTAATTGAATCAGTACTTTATTTGAGTAATAATCACAAAAGAGTAAACTGTACAAGCAAGTATATTATTACATCTAAAAGAGAACTCTACTCTGCTGCCGTGCTGGTGCTGGGGCCATCCTTGTAGTTGACATTGACGACGTGGCTCACCTGACTGCTCTTCTTGCCGGGCATCATCGAGCTGACCCGGTCCACGTAGGTCGTCAGTTCGCCTGATTTGTGCTTACGGTAGAGGAAGAAGCCCACTCCACCAACAATGGCCAACGCAAGGAGCACCAAAATGACTGTGACAGCCGCATGAGAGTCTGCACAACAAACAAACAAAACAAAATGTTGTCAGTTGTAATTAAACAAAAACAACTTACGAGAACCAGGCGTCAGCTTAGAGTTGGGCGAGTAGACGCAGTTCATAGAGAAGGAAACGTCATCCAGACTAATACTGCCTCTGGTGTCGGCGAGTTGACTGTCAAAGACGAAGCGGAAGGGCGACCCTGAGGAAAACTTGACCTTGCCCTTCTGCCAGTAGGCCATGTAGGAGTTGCTCCTGAAGAGCGTCCCACTGTCGTCGTTGTTGCCGTCGGCGTACTGCACCCACACCTTTAGCGAGTTGTAGCTGTTCAGTGTGAGGTTGCCGTTGTTGTAGTAGAAGAAGCGCAGCCAACAGGCGCCGCCCTTGCTGTACATGAAGGGCGAGTACAGGCGAATGTTCTTGTTCAGGTACTTCTTGTTGTACGACTTCAGCATCAGGTACTGACCACTGCGGTCCTTGGTTGTGTGATCTGCCCCCGGGCCAGAGTAGCCCATCAGGTTGTAGTCGTAGCCCTTGGTGAACTGCCAGTTGAAGAGCTTCTCTGAGGTCTCCATGGTGAAGCCGCAGAACTCCAGCGACTGCTCAAAGGCGCAAGATGGCGGGATCTTGGGATTGACCGCCGGACTGCACAGGGACCATCGTTCGTCCCAATTGGTGCCACAGTCATCTGAACAGAAACAAAAGGTGTGGCACGGTTTTAGTAAAAAAAGGTAAAGTTAGTTTCAAGTGGCAAAGTTTACCTTCAAAGTCGCACAGGTCACTAGGGTCTATGCAGATCCTAGAATCTGAGCACATCACCTCAGCGGAAGCCGGACAACTAGCTTTGGGGGCGATTGGGTTGGGGAAGGAGCAGTTGTGGAACTGAATGTTATCCAGAGCCACCGACTCGTTGGCGACGAATCGACTGCCGAGGAAGGTGACCACAAAGGAGCCGGGAAAGCCGCCCAGGTAGACGATGCCCTTCTGCCAGCTGTTGGCCTTGTTCGCCGTGTAGTACGCCTTGAGGACGGCAGAGTCGGTGTCGCTGCCGGCGCTGATCTCCAGCGCCGCCCCCGAGTACTGCGTTCGGTTGCTGTAGAGGTAGTAGTCGAAGGTCATCGAGCAGGTGAGGTAGGCGTCCTTGAACTGCAGCTTAAAGTCGCCGTAGTTGCGCGTCAGCTTGGTGCCCGCCACGAAAAGCTTCGCCAGGTAGCTGGAGAGGTAGAGGTAGTGGCCGTTGGCGTTGCCATTGCCGTCCGTCTTTGGCCCTATTTGGCCGCTGTTGGCCTTCGCCACGTACCATCGGCCCTGGCTGCTGTATTCACCGCGTCGGTAGTCGTTCAACCAGCCGCAAAAACCGTTTTCAAAGTCGCATGCACCACAGTTGGCTGTCACACAGGGAGTTAGCAATAGTTTAAGGTTAGAATTGCTCAAGCTCAACTCAAATCAGTCTGTCAGCCTTACCCTCATCCGAATGGTCATTTCCAGGGCAGTCATATTTAAAATTGCACAACTTGTCTGCGTCAATCACCGTTCCATCGGCGCACTTGAATCGAAAGCCGTAGTCGCAGGAAGTGTGAGCCATTGCAATGTCGTCCACTGCTATCACAGTGTTTGCTTTTTTCGTCAGTCCGCTGAAGGATAGACTGAATTCGTGATAGGCGGCAAACATCTTCCGATCAATGTCCATTGCGTAGTGAGTCCACTTGTTCTGCGTCGTATTGCTAATCGTAACCAGAGTGGTTCCCTTCGACGTCGGAGCGCCTGAAGCCGTTTTGCCAAACAAGTTTAGAGTGATTGTAAACGCAGCATCATTGGCAGTCAATGTCAGCCAGAAACTGAGGCAGTAGTTGGTGGAAACGGTGTAGGGGAAGGCCTCAATTGGAGTCTGCACCAACGAGGTTCGGGTTCGATCACGAGTCGATGGAAATCCGGTCATGGAAAGGTAGCCTAGTATGATCACCACAGCAATTCAGTTATAAGTGTTTCCAGCAAAACTATTCCATTGTCACTTACCGCCGCCATATCCGCGTTTGGTGTGATCGTAAGGCGGTCCAGGCCAGGAGGCATTACTCGGCGGCCCAACGTATCGGGAAAAGTCGTAATCCGATTTGTAGTAACTAGCATTGCAGTGGTAAACGATTTGTCAGTACCAGTTTTTACTTGTTTACCAGGTTTGTTTACCTTGACGAGTACGCACAGACGTCGTCGTCGAAATCGCACTCAACCGCCCGTTTGCAATTGTGACTTGAAACTGAAATTAAACTCAATTAAACTACCTTTCCTGAGAAGTTCCAATTAAAAACACTTACTTGAGAGATCGTCCAAGGCCACATACGACGTAGCGTCCCACTGTTTGGTCATAATAAAGACCAGCTTGTGTTCGTAGTAGGCGCTGTAGGGCACCTGTGCAACCACCCAGTTGGTGTGGTCTCTGAATCACCATTTCAAAATGTTAGTGTAAATGTAAACAACACGTAATATTTACTGCATTTTGACTTACGCATATGTGCTAAAAAGGGGATAGTAGTACGAGTTGGAGTTAACCTGACTGAGGTACACTTTCAAAGTGGCGTCTCCCTTGACTTGATAGGCGAAGCGGAAACAGCGAGAGCTACTCAACTCTGGACGGAATCTCATGGCCGGCAAATTGTCGACAACCAGCAGGTCGGTGTAGGTTGTGTTGAAGTCAGTCTGTCGGTTCATGAAGAGAAAGTAGCCTCCCGTTCCGGTGGTGTGATCTCGAGTCGGTGCACTTGGATACGTTCGGTCGCCTTGGAAGCGAATGGTGCCCATGAAGCCGTTCAGCGGTGACACCCTGGTAATCTCCAGATTGTCAATTGAATCGAAGGTGTAAACGTAATCATCGATATGCTGGCAAGCGCTGTGGTTGGATGAAGAAAGTAAGAGTTACATTTCATCACTTATAAATAGCAAGTGCAATTGACAAACCCAGGAGTCAGCTTAATGTCATCAATAGCGAATGATCCATTGGCGGCATTGGTGGTCAGCAGACTGAGCGAGAGGAACTGTGAGTTGTAGTACGGCCAGGTGTCAACT